AATTGCCTTCCTGATTTCTTTTCGAACTCAACAGGGCCTTTCTTTTTTAAATGCATCTAAGTGGATTGAAATAGATTATCAAAAAATTTGTATTGTTAAAAGATATGTACATATGTATACGGTAGTGGTCACATAATTAGGGATACTATTTATTTATACGTTTTGACCATTTGTTTAAGAACTTGCGTCGATTTTTGAGAATTTTTGACAAAGTATGTTAAAAAGGTTTATATATAGGTATATAGTTATAAATAAATAACGAAAAAATAAATGGTCAGAACTTGTTGTGTCCCTAATATGTGTACATATTACCTCGTAGGATTGTGTCAACCAGTATAAGTATGTTTAGTGGTTTTCTCTCCCATCTGCCGTCACAGTTAAGCTGCAGCAATGCCTCGTCCGAAAATGAATGTTTAATGCCGCTGGCTACGTCCTCAGACACACCTTTTATTTTTGATATATGTAATTGACCTTTGAAAAATTTAAGTACAGCAATTAGAACGTGAAATATGGATTCCATAAAATAATTCATTATCATGGCTTGTGCATACTCTGGATCTTTTATTTTTGATATATGTAATTGACTTTTGAAAAATTTAAGTACAGCAATTAGAACGTGAAATGTGTATTTCATAAAATAATTCATTATCATGGCTTGTGCATACTCTGGACTATTTAATTTTGTTTCTATTAAATCCAAAGCGCAATAGGAATGCAGTGGTAGAGAACTGGCGATGCGAAGCAGTTTTTTAATATTGCATTCGTATATCCGTTTTTCTTGCTCATGGCGGTATTAAAAGCTCTTTCATTCATTTTAAATGAAATATTTTATAAAACTTATCTTTATTTTTCCACAGAACTTTAAGTTTTGAGCATCTTTTCGTTTTACGTCTTTCTTTTTTCTGTTGATGTGCGCATTTGAACTTCTTCAGTACCAAGTACTTGATAATACGGTTTTATTTATTACGTTTATATATAAAAAGAATATCATACCACAATGAAAACTATTATTTTTACTTACTTTTGCTATGAGCGGGGTCGAATAATGATAAAATTAAAATTAAACTAATTAAGTTCAAAATTATATCCAAGTACTTCAGTGCTCGACATTATTTGGCAGGTACAACTACTTTTGTTGAGCACAAAATGCAGCCCTAGTGAATCTTGTGGTTACTATGGCAACCAACTACCATTACTTCTATCAGCATTGACACTCACTTGATCGATCAAATGACAGTCATTCCCTACAGAGCCAAACTGGCATATACAATTTTGCATATGGGTTAGTTTTCGTTGTGAATGTGTTGGAGTTTCTGTCAATCGCGTCTTGTAGGGTTATTATCAAAGAACGTAGATAACAAGAAGGGACAACTCGTTATAATTGTAGCGAAAGTGCGCAACAGGGGCGTGCCTTCTCTTTTGCCCTAGTGCATTTTTTGATTGGATGAAAAGAGAAGGCACGCTGCTGTTGCGCACTTTCGCCACAATTATAACGAGTTGTCCCTTCTTGTTATCTACGTTCTTTGTTATTATTGCAATCGATAGTTCGTCGTTTGTTCTTCATTGTTCGTCCATTTTTAATGTTACAAACATTTATAATTAATTTTTTACATTTTACGGTTCCTGCCTTTAGCAGAGAACGTAGATAACAAGAAGGGACAACTCGTTATAATTGTGGCGAAAGTGCGCAACAGGGGCGTGCCTTCTCTTTTCATCCAATCAAAAAATGCACTAGGGCAAAAGAGAAGGCACGCCCCTGATGCGCACTTTCGCTACAATTATTACGAGTTGTCCCTTCTTGTTATCTACCTTCTTTGCCTTTAGCACCCCAAATGTAAGAATTTCATTATTTTTATTTGTTAACTGTGATAAATCGTTTGTTCGTTGTTAGCTCGTCGTTTTCTCTTCCCTAAAATCGAGCAAAAGGCGTTAATAAATTCATAATTTTTACTTAACGTTAAACATTACGTTAACGTTTAAACAATAATTGGAATTGGGGCCGATGAGCTAAAAAAAGTAGGCGTGGACCGCCCTCTTTTCCTGATTTTAACGGCAAATTTTTTTTTTTGTGTTCAAATTATCAGGGGTGGAGCTAAGGGGGCTAAACGTGAAATTTTCAACATTTTTAAAAGCTTATATTTCGAAAACGATTGAACCGATTTTAAAAATATGGACACAGTTGGAAAAGTGATTGAAGGACCTTTCATTCGATATATATTT